GGAGGGTTACGGTGAAAGGGGGTTTAGGGAATTGTGCGGGGGTAAGAGGCATGTTGGGGGGTGAACAGATGGGTTAGTGGGATTCATGAAGTGGGGATTTTGAGTGCAGGTAATGGAGAGTTGTGGAGAATGGGACTTGGGAATAAAGAGGTGGGTCACTGAGTAGGTGTGGGAACCGTCAGGAAAAATGGTTACTCGGAGAGCTGGGTGGAAACAAAGGACCCCCCGCTTTTTTATTAATTTGGCAAATATTTATTAGATACTGTGTGCAGAGATACTGGCTTCTGGCACAGTCCCAGTTCTCAAGCTCATGGTTTGAGAGAGAAAATAAGAGCAAAAAAACTTAGTATAGCCCAGCCGGTGTGGCTCAGTGGTTGAGCGTGGATGCATTCACCAAGAGGTCACCTGTTCAATTCCCAGCTGGGGCACATGCCCAGGTTGTGGGCTCCATTCCCAGTGGGGGGCGTGCAAGAGGCAGCCAGTCACCAATGTTTCTCTCCCTCTCCCTTCCTCTCTCTCTAAAATCAATAAAAACATTTAAGAAAAAAACAGTATAAATTGTGAGAAAAGCTGTAAGGAAAGGGAGGGCACGCTGTGGGGAGCCAGGTGGAGCGGGCACAGCACCTTCAGAGGCCCTGAGGTGGGAAACGGGGACAGAAAGCGGTCAGGGACTGAAAGCCCCCAGTTGAGTTTGGAGAGAGGCCTACACGTCTCAGAGTTGGGGTTTTGTTTCAGTTGTGAGGGTGAAATCACAGCAATTACAAGACCACCGTCCCACTACCCCACCCACCAGCCAGCCAGGATGGGTAAAGCCTTCACAAGGCAGCCCATTGTGTCTGGGTTCTGCCCAAATTATTAGAAATGCGAAGGACCAAAGTCCGTTTGGAGGATGAGGTCTTAAATGAGAACCTGTTTGGGGGAGAAGGATGGGCCCCTGGGGACGGAACCAAGGTCTGGTGGTGTGGACCAGTCAGTCACTGGAGCCTTCTATTGAAGAGGGTTTACAAAGCCAGCTGAGCAGCAGCCCTGGGCAGTTTCATAACCTCTATCTGGAAAGTTAGGGGTGTTACCCACCACCACTACCACCACCACCGCGTTTATTCCACTTGTTGACGCCTTGTGCGAGGTGCTAGAGAAACCGAGACAGCTAAGATATTCTCTGCCCTCTTGGAGCTCGCTGAAAAGCAGAGTGTGTGGGAGACTAATTTATAAATAGTTTCCATATCCGCGATATGCTGAGTAGACGTAATTCCTGGCGCAAAAGACTGGGCTGGGAGAGGGTGCCTTTGTGTGATGCCGTATTTGCTAGAGGAGCCCGAGAGCAGGGACCTGGTTGTACTTTCCTTTGTATTCCCAGGGCCTGGCACCCAGCATGCATAGCGTTTTGTGGCACTTAGATTCTGGAAGGATGAGCAGGAGCTGGGGGGCGGGGGGGGAGGGGGATGGGCTCTTCACGGGCAGGAACCACCGAGGCAGTGCTCTGCGTGTTTGTGGAGCTACCTGAGTTCCTTTGCTTCTAGGTGGAGAGTTGTGTGAGGCGTGAGCTCTGCCCACGAACAGTCACCCACTACAGCCCCGGGCTGCTGGCTTT